AGAGTTGTATTAGTAAAATGTATTTATAATACAGATATGATTTCTAAGGTTAAGGGTGAGATTGCAATGTACAGAGAATGTTATGAATTATTTTAATGTCAACAATTTTTATTTGTTTAACTTTGTAACATGAGTCTTAATTAACCTGGTTACAGACGCGAGTTCGCTTCAATGTTGTTAAGCAACCGATAGTAACCGGGTTAAAATTATAGATTTGTTTTGACATTGAAATCAATTAAGTATAGTCGTTATTCTAGTTATATAAATACCTTATTAAAATGCCTAAATCACGCTTGACGAAACGACAAAGCCTGTGCTAAATAGCACATTAATATTTTTTGATTAGACAATCTCTGGCACGTTCCTGATATACAGGATGTTTATTTTAATAAATAGCCAAAGTCCAAGTAAAACATAACGTTTTTTTTTTATATTTTCACGTATTTTATATTTCTTTAAATCCGTGTCTTTACAATTTAATATTGTTGCAATAAATAGATTATTTATCTTATAAATATATTTGAGAATAGTAATGTGTACAAGACTGATTTAAAAAGAACTGTAGGCACTATGCTTTGCATATAGTAGCAGCACATTTGGAATTTAGCAGATTTGGTTATAAAGTGTGTTAAAATACAATAATGGCATTAAGTCGGGGTGAAAGTATAGAGGGAAGGCGTATCGAGCGTTGAGTAATAATCGCTGGAGAGGTTAGTTACGTACGTAGTTTTGTGCAGCCTCGCCGCGTGAGGCCGCCGTCACGTCGCCGGTGAGAGGCGCCCCCTCCCCCTGCAGCCGGAGGTCGACCGCCCCACCGACTGACGGAGACAACCAACACCCAATTGCCTGGTCTAACTCACGTATACACGTAAACGTCTTTATTTGCCTTCAATACGAAGCTATGTTTATTTAAAAGTAAGTAGGTATTTAACGTTAGATTAAACTAAGATAGAACGCTCCAGTAACCTATAGAAACATAGGCCTCTTACTAAATATGTTGGTCTCGGTAAGGAGTCAAATTCGACCTACTATCAAATTACTACAAATAGTAAAATATCGTATCGTTATTGTAATTGATGTAGATTTTTAATTTCGCGAATAATCTACAGGTTCTTTATCAGGGATTGTTATCAGCGGAAGCCAACATGTCCAACACACGTGCAAACGATTGAATGTCACCAATCTAATCAAAAGCAAACTGAAAACAATTAACAGAGGTTCATTAACCGTTGGATGCTTTCTATGGTAGGAAAATGCAAACGTAAAACATTTACGATAAATCAGTAATTTTACACCTACGCACGTTTCTTCAGTTCTAAATTTAACCCAGTAGAAGTATTTCGAATTGATTCGTAGTCTAATAATATCCAGTGCGCGTTTGAAAATCTCACTTGTCTGTGTTGAATTTATTTGCAGGTGAGTTTAATTATCGTTGTGTTACCTCACATCGTTGACGGTTGCGACAACGAATCGCATCGTCCATTAGAAAGTCGACGATGAATATGCAAATAAGTGGTAGAAACCACACGAATACCTGACCGACTGTAGTCCGTACGAGCGATGAAAGTGTCCGGTGACCATGTCGATTGTGTTGCAACAATTTCTTTTACAGTACCATTGCTAACAAACAATACACCCGCAATGTAGTCTTTTTATGTAAATTTTTTTTTCGCAATCAAAAACTAAGTTAAACAGCAGTCTGCAGTTTATCAGATTGTTTTTAAACGCATAACATTCATTTAACTTTATCCAGTATCACTTTCTTAAAACAAAGTATTATATATTTTTTACTTAATTCATTCTTTTTAGATACACTGTTTAATGAGGCTAAGTTTCTTTTTTTTTTGTTGCGCACGCGACCCAAAAAATCTAAGCAAGCAAACTGACCTTGCTACGTTTTCTTTTACAATTTGTAACAATCGTTCGACCATTGCTGCAATTTGTTAAAGTGGTTGATGTTAAAATCGTTGCCTAAATGAAAAAATTGTTCCACTTCCAAAATTAGTTCTTTTGTACTGTTTAGCTATATTTTATTTATTACAAATAAACCTGCTCACAGACTATAAGTAAACAAGTATCTAATATATTGATATTAGATAAAAGAATCGCGGTAAGCAATTAACATCGTCGATCACAGCTCGGCTGCGTGGAATTCCCGCTATGATTCGTGTTGTGTAGTGAACTATTTATTATCATCGTCGACTGCTGACGTACGAATATCGCATATCGCTTCTATTGCAATGGAGTTAAAGTCGACGTTTCCCTGGCCTTGTTCCGGCCCACCTCCGCAATGTTACGTCAATGAAATACAGCACGTTAACTGGCCGAGCCGGCCGCTCGACTGCCTGTTCTGTGTCCGGGTTTGTCGCGCTCGAAATCATTACATTTCTTGAAATTACTCAACGGATTTTATTGTTCTTTATTAACACACTGTACGATCCTTATTTATAAGCGAAATACGAGCCACTTTTGTATAATTAGCGACTGTGTACATTTATCTCGAGCGGGTGAAGGAAACCGGTCGCGGCGGCCTCTCACTTTGCAACAGCAACATATATACCGTTCGCCGACTTCGTTTGTGTTGGTAAAATTAGGTAACCGACGGCGCGGCGATCGTGACGATCGACGTTCCGAACCGAATAATGAAATCCTCGGCGCAAGCTGGTGCCACGGTAGCGACTAAAAATATTACGCATACTGGCCCGCGGATTACTCTCGCTGATAAAGTAGCTACCGCAAAAACAAACATGATATTGACAATTAGTACAGAAGTGTACAACGCGTAACTAAACAAAACATCCAACTAGCGATTTCCTTGTATTTTCCGGATGTAGCGATCGAATAAACACACGGCCTTCGCAAGAAGACAAGCGTTGAAACTTAACGACCTTGCCATTATATTTATATGGATTCCATTGCACTTGCGACATCCATAATTGGCTTACGATCTAATAACGAGCATTGCTGTTTTCGGATAAT